TGGTGTGTACGCGGTCTGTACACAGTGCCCGATGGACTGAGGCAGCAAATTAAAACGCAGCCGGGAAAGCACGGTCAACCTACAGTTGCGTTCTGTGTCTGAAGGGAACGATTAGGAAACTCCCCTTAATGTATGGCAAATAAATGTGCAAATCTGTGCTCTCATTTATCAAATACGCACACCCAGACGACAGACTATTATTTTTTGGAAAGGAAACTCCATGCCATTTTGAGATGAAAAAACTCTGACTGCCATCATTAGAATGCCTCTATAAAAGTAAATGGATAATATTAAGTGTCAATGTTTTCTAACGGAAAAAAACCCTCTTTTCTGTCACACAAAAAACCGCTGAGCTACATATTCATTTTATGACATAAAGCTAGTTCATAACTCCCACTCTTTCATTAATTCTTGGAAGTAACACGAGACAGACGAGAAGAAACTTTTTAGGACTACCTGACACAGAACAAGAGATTTCTCTTCCTTTTCCTTTCTCTAAGCATCACTCAAATAGCTCCAAATTCTATTTCATTGCAGGTGAGCATGCTTCGTCGCAAACACTAATGAAATGCTCAAATCTACTGGTGCTACTAAGCGTTTCAGGCAAGCAGCACCATCTTTAAAATATATACATAAATAAATAACCTTACGGAAAGTCAAGATTTAAAAGGATTTAACAAACTGGAATTGCTTAAAATGAAATTTCAGATCAGGCCCTTAAAATATGAAGCCACATAAAAGGGGAGTCACAAAAAAAAAAAAAGGGAGAGAAGGGGTTCATTAGAAATTCATCCCCTGCAATGCCTTTCACTCCTGCAAGGTTGCCTTTTTTCAAGAAGAAAAAAGTCCCCCGGGTGAGAAAATCAATACTGGTTAATAAAACATCAGGTGTGCAGACATAACTAGGAACGACCATCCCGCTGCACAGGCCTGCCTGAATGCACCAGGTGCCAGGCCGATTAGTCATCCAGGGCCAACAGCGAGCCGGGTGAAAACGGATGCCTGCGCCCTGCAAAGGGGAGGGGATGAGGTAATTCTGAGGGGAAATTAGTCGGAATATTTAAACCCAATGGGGAGGTCTCCTCCAAAGCAAAAGAACATTCTAATCAGAAATAGAGGACTCAGATGGTTGTGTTTTGTTTTTTTCCCACCCTCAGCATAGTGACACTCCAACATTATCTGCAAAGAAAAATACCACGGAATACTAGCTACAAGCAATACTCCACTGCATTCGGGGGCTCTCTAGCTGAAAGAACGGGTCTTCAAAGTTCACTGCACCAGACTGACTATTTGACGGTATTGATTCCCCTCATGAATACTGTATTTAGTTGGTAAGAAAACAAAGGGGGCTTGGATCCTTAAGATGCTTCAATAATGGGTCATTCTCCAGTATCTCTATGAAGGCCATTCCGGAACTTCCAAATCATACTTTATTTTATCAAAGTTTTAAAGGTTCTATGCAGACTATTTTACCAAAATATTAATTCCTTCCTCCCCTCTTTTTTCCCCAAAATTACTAGTTTCTGTCATTTAATATTTAAGATAGAAAGGAAACATAAAATAATTACTTTGATTTTACAGTTTCAACCTAAAGCTAAAATTACTTTAGAACATCTCTGAAAAAAAAAGAATGCAGTGGTCTTTATGACAAGCTACCTTTTGTTTAGGAAAACATTTCATCCTTTTTTGGATTAGATAAATTATTGCTGTTCTCTTTTAGAAACAAATAACTTCATGTGCTCTTAAATCAAGTTTGATAAGGCAATCGTATAGTTCTTATAAAATGTATTTAACCACCAAAACTATCAGTCATCCTTTCATTTGCTAATGCTTTCGGTAAGTTAAAATATAAGAAAAAAATGCAAAATCACAAACATACATATAAATCCTTTAAATATGACTCTCCTTCCAGATGCTGAAAGCCTTGTGCTTTTTTTTTAACTTAATTCTTTTTTCTTTTAACCTGAGAGCACTTAAAATTCAGCATGGGTGAAGTATAAACATAATTTAATTAGCTGCTTTCATGTTTAAATACAGAAACTTGACTCATTTTATAAACTATCATTTGGGCAACCAATCCTTCTGAATCATCCACTCACATAACTGCTTTTACTCTGAATAACTGGACGTTTTGTAAGGAGAGTAGGAGAAGCGATAAGCAGTGTTTTCGACCCCACGGAAGAAACAACAATTAGCATATTTCAAATGTGCTCAGCTGTACAGTGATACCCGTTGTTTCACACTGCACTTCACAGTATTCAAAGCATTAGAGCAAGGGAGGGCCTTCGATTACACACAGGAAATAAGTTCAGGGAGTTGATGTGACTTCCCTGGAGAGAATCAATCAGTGGCCAGAGAGCTAGGGCCAGCTAAAATATCCTCAACCCGATCAGAAGCCTGGGACATAGAAACAAGGGCCTCAGATCAAGAGTGCACGTTCGAGAAGTTAGCACTGTTTACAGTTCCCACCGTCAGGTTCCCTGGCCAAGTTGGATTAAATATGGTGTTAATGAAGTTTGGTCTCTAGGGAGGCAAACTTTTTCTCCAATTCATCCATTCAGTGGTTTATTCGACAAACACACAAAAAAAGCACCTATAATGTGCTTAGACAATAAGCAAGTGTGACTTAAAAGGCTGATGGTATAATGACAGAGACTGATATAAAAAACTGGTTAATTAAAATTAAATGTAAAGTGTGTGTTTAAATGTTAAGTACAAGCAACCCTCGAACAACAGTTTTGAATTGTGAGGGTCCCTGATGCCTAGATTTTAATCAATCGTAAATAGCTGGCCTTTGAACAATGTGGGGGTGAGGGGTACCAACCCTCCCTGCAGTTGAAAATATGCATATAATTTACAGCAGGCCCTGGGGATCCACAGTTCCTCCAGATCAGTGGTACTACAACTGGGGATTCAACCCACCAGGGACCACGGAGTACTGGAGTATTTACTATTGAAAAAAATTCACAAATAAGTGGACCTGAGCAGTTCAAATCCACGTTGTTCCAGGATCAACAGGCCCCGTGGAACACCAGAGATGTCAGCTGCACTGAAGGAGGAGGCAGGCAGTAGACACTGGGGCAGATGGGGAAGGCTTGCGGTAAAGACCACTTTAGGCAGAGTGGATACAACTTGCATGAAGGCATGGAGTCTCATAAAAAGCAGGAGAGTCAAGAAATTACAAGTAGTTTTGCATGGTGGAAGCAGCCAAGGGAGGAGACAGGCAGTGAGACTGGAAAGGTTGGTTTAGAGGAGGCATTTGGATGTTTATGGATGAAAGGAAGCGAAGCACGGGAAGGCAGGGGAGGTGCCTGAATCATGGAGACATCAGGAGGCCAATGAAGAATTCCAGGCAGCGGGGAGTCCACCATCAGATGTGAATTTAGGGAAGATTATTTCAGTTCAAGGAAGTGTTATAAATGGACTAGAATGAAATCAAATCTGAAGGAAAACAGACTGGCTCACAGTGTGTTCGTTAGTTCCTGAGAGAAATGATGAATGCCCCAACTAGAAGGTCCGTGGCGCAGGATGGGAGTGGATTTGAGCAGGCGGCTGCGGGGAGAGGGGGGATCCAGGCAGAAGATGCTGTAAGAAGAGCCAGGGGTGGCTGCCAGGCCACCACACCTGCGGTAGAAAGTGGTCAGACATCGGGCCAATTACGCAAGGAGACAAAATCTCAGAGGGCCTTAATCACCACACTGAGGAGCCCAGACTTCATTTTGCAGATGATGAAAATCAGACCAGGGTAGAGAAGATGAGTGCATTATGGACATGCTGAGTTTCAGGTAAAAACAGAACAAAAGGTAGGGCTGTGTAGGAGCCCCTTGGATAAATAAGCATGCTATTCTAGGGAGAGCTGGGGTGTAGGTGGCCACAGAAATCATGAAATTTAAAATCAAGAAGAGTACAGATTGAGAAGACACATAGACAATGGGACAAATCTTGAGAAAATCAACGTGGAAGGGAAGGTGGAGGTAAAAGAAAATGAAAGAACCAGAAGACAGTAAAAGAAATGATCAAGAAAATGATAAGAAAATGGTGTCACGATAGAGAAATTTTGAGGTGAGGTCCCCAGTGGCAAAAGCATCGAAATGTCTGTGAACTGGTGAATGAACAAAGTGTGTCCTGTCCACAGAATGGAATACTACTCAGCAATAAAAAGGAATGAAGTACCGATACGTGCTCCATCACGATTGAACCTCAAAAACTTAAGGGTAAGAAGCCAGACACCAGAGACCAAACAACGTATGATTCTGTTTATATGAAGTAACCAAAGTAGACTCATCTCTAGACACAGAAAGTAGATTGGTGGTTATGTGGGGCTAGAGTTATGTCCGCTCCGTGACAGAGCACACATCGCTGGAGAAAAGGGAGGAAATGAGGTGAGGTGAAGAACAAAAGTGAACAGAACGGTCCTTAAACAGGAGGGAGAAACGTTCCCGTGGGTAAGGATGGGCGTGGATTCAAATGAGCTGGGAAATGGCTCAGGAATGGAGGCTGATTCTGCCCGATAGTTTCAATTTCTTAATTAAACAGAAATGACATTGTCCTCTGAGAGTGAAGGGATCATGACTGAGGAGGTGGACTGAAGACTAACGGAGCTGATTAAGGACAAGTAAGTATCAGTCCTTGTAGTGACACGCGCACCGCGGCACATGCGATGTCCCCGCACAAGGCCGGTGGCCCTGGACGTTAGAGCGCTGACTCGGGGCTGAGAGTGTAGCTGGGGGCACAACGAGGGTCAAGGATGTAAGAGAACTGAAGCTGCTGGCAAAGTTAAGTTAGGATAGTTGACCACTCGACAGAGACAGAAAGGAAAAGAGAGAATAGATTAGTGATCAGGGCTCCAGAAAGTCACAAAACAGGGTTAATGGGAAGATGAACCCAAAAGCTTGAAGGATAAATGGGTAACAGAGGGCACATCGAGAGATTCGTAAGTTCCAGGGACGGACCCCTCCAGAAAGGGTCCTCGAGGGTGGAGAGACGAAACAGGGCAGAAGTGAAGTCGTTGGTATTCAGTTAGGTTGAAAAACCGCAAGGTCAGTCTTCAGTGAGTGCAGGAAAGTGACAAGGAAGCTGACAGGTGGTGGCAATGGGGAAGGCTGATGGCAGGCACCTCCAAGGAGGGGTTTCTGGTAAACCAGATGGAGAGCATGTATTCCACCGGCACACTGAGCGAATGCAGGATTGTCTACCATGGAATGAAATCTGTAGCAAAGAGGAACTAGGTGGAGGCAAGGAGGCTGGGAACAATGAGATAAAGCCAGGAGATGGATCAGAGCTGGGAGTCTGCCCTTGGTGGAGGTACCAAGGTCACTCACAGGGCTCAGTGGGGAGAGAGAACACCAGCTCAAACTGCCTGGCCTCCAATATTCCAATTATGAGACAGTTTTGCTCCACGAACAGGCTAAGGGTCCCGTACTCAGAAAACTGGTGGGGGTTTGTTACAGCAAAGACCCAGATGTGGAGTGTATTAATTCTTTCACATAATAGATAAGTAATCATTTGGGGCCTTTCAACTGATTCCAAGGCCTCTCACGTAATCTCGTCTACTCTTAGGAAAGCAATGAGCTCTACAATGTTGCTAGTCTTACCACTTTCCTTCTCTCCTACTCTTAAGATTTGAGCAATTAAGCGACAGAGTTTCCAAGAACCACTTGCTACAAACCTTTCACATCCATCGTCGTCTTTCACATCCATCATCATCTAAACTCTACCTGATACACCCTTGCAGGGTGTGTGTGTACACAAATACAGATATATACTATCTCTGGTTATTGTTTTGATTTTTTGTTGGCGAGGAAGGAGAAAGAAAGAATGGCAGGGAGACACAATCACTGTTAAAAACAAAAACAAAAACACCACCACCAAAAACACCTAGACTCTGAAGTATAAACAAACCTACAACAGAAACAATTTCTGGGGGGAGGGTATAGCTCAAGTGCTAGAGCACATGCTCAGCATGCATGAGGTCCTGGGTTCAACCCCCAGCACCTCCTCTAAAAATAAATAAACCTAATAACTTACTTCCCCCCAAATAAAATTTAAATTTTTTTTTTAAATTTTTAAAAAAGAAATGATTTCCAGAAGCATCCTCTACAAGGGCGACCTTACCTTGTCGTGGACTGTCATGCAGCTGGCGGCATCCTTCTGAAGGATTTCGGTCACCCCATTGGAGAGCCTTTCATACTTAAGTTTGGGCTCCTCTTCGCTCTCTTCTTCCTGCACAGAAAGCAGAAGGAACGACGGCCATCACAGACTGATCTGAAATAGTCAAAAGGCTGAAAACACACATCTTACGGGGGAACCAGAGACGGTTTCCTCAATGACCGTCAACAAGCACAATTGCAGTTAAAGGTTAAGATCCTCTTGTTTCATTTTTCCAACTGGTGTGTCAACTGCTACAGCTTCAACGGCAGAAAAAATTCAAAAGCCGGAAACAGGACTATATAAACTTACTGTTGACAGCAATCAACTTCAGCTTATTAAATACCAAACTGTCCCCCTATGCAGACAAAAGCCAACAAAAGGTGGGTGGGCAAAATGCTTGCGCCCGTGTGACCTCATGGGCATAAAACACAGCAGCGAGATAAGACTGTAATAAACCTCTAAAAGATGTGAATTTTGCATTTCAAGAGTGTAAGTATTTTTGTCAGACTTGAGATCTCATTTTAATTAGAAAGATAGTTACAAAAAATCAAAGTCAAAACAATTGGAAATTTGACATCAAGTGTATACTTACCTTTGAGATACAAATATTTTCATATTTATTTTAAAGAGTGGATAAACTATGAACAGTCATTACTTTTTAATTTATACTATACTATGCAGTTTACTTTCAACTGAATAAACCTACTTATGCATTAAAACTTTCTTAGTCATTTTGTCTGTACTATTACTAACTTCATGTGTGCAACCTCACTGTTGATACAGTATCATAAGACATCCTTAATCCTCAGAGTTATAAAATTAGGAATCTATATTGATTATAATGGGCATGAATTAATAGATCAAGGATAGCTATACAAGTTATTACAATGATTCAGATAAATATTTCATTTTACTGCATCAATTTGTAATGAGAAAAGAGAAAACATGCATATACCAACCACTGTGATAGGATAAAGCTGCCAGAAGTTCACAAAAATAACCGACTCACTGACATTTCCTTCAGTGATAATTGTGGAGTCCTCACCTTCCAGCTAGCATGTGGGTAGCTTGAGGCACATCAATGCTCCCACCCAGAAAAACTAGAAAAGCTTAATGAAATCTAGAGCAAGACCAGAATAAGGCAACCTGAACTAGAACAGTCAGGATTCCAAGGTGGTGGAGAAACCGTGGCAAGGCGAGCTGGCATTCCACAGCCTCCTCCCTGGAGAAATTTATCAACAAGAAGCAGAGAACCCAATCTCTGCCTGAAAAGATAGACACTCCCAGGGGCAGGGAAAGCAGCAAACCTTCTGGTACTTGTGGGGATAGTGTGACAAAATTGGAGACTTGATGGGCTAAGGCTCTGGTCGAAGAGAGAGCCAAAGAAGTGAGATGGTTACGCAGCCACTTTCCCCAAGGGACACCTGCCTATTTCCAAAGCAATAAGAGGTACGAGGCGAAAAAGAAATCCTCAAAATTGCAGAATTGCTGCCTTGATGTGCTGGGAAGAGAAGAATGAGAGTTCAGGAGCCATCAGGAAATGAGGTCCCAATGAATAACTACAGGCTCTCATTTGGGACTCCTGGTCCCCAGGCGACAGGACCAATAGCTTACCAAAACTTCCATCTAGCTCTGACTCAGCTCAATCCCCGACTAGAGTAAAGAACATATAACCTCTCTCTATAAAAATAAATAAAAAACAAATTTCTTCTCTATAGCACAGGGAACTATATTCAATATCATAGTAACCTTTAATGAAAGAGTATAAAAACAAATACGTGTGTGTGTGTGTGTGTGTGTGTGTGTGTGTATATATATATATATATGCACGACTGGGCTATTATGCACCAGAAATTGACACATTGTAACTGACTATGTGTCAATAAAAAAAAAGAACATATAACCCCAACTCCATCTGTCCAGGAAAGGAAAAGGTGACTCCTTGGAGAAAGAGTACTAATGGGGCTTCTACAATTCCTCACTTATGATACTGAGAATTCAATAAAAAGTTACCAAGTACGCCACACGACAGGCCCAAATGACTAAAAATCAAGGAGAAAAAAAGTCTCTAAAAACAGACCCATGGGTGACCTCGATACTGGAGTTAGCAGAAAAGGACTTTAATACAAAACTATAACAGGAAGGGAGGGAGGGGGGAGGGAGGAAAGAGGATGCATAAAATAGATGAAAAGATAGAGATTTTAACACAGATCTGTAAAAAAAGAATTAAATGAAAACTTCAGAATTGAAAAATGTACCTGAAACTAAAAACTCAATAGCTGGCTCGACAGAAGATTAGTGAAGCAGAAGACAGGATTAGTGAAATAGAAAACAGGTCAAAAGCTATCCAAAGGGAAGCCCCAGAGAAGAAAAATGGACAGAAAATACAGAAAAATAATTACGTGGAACACAGTGAAAAGAGCTAACATACAACACAGTCCCACAAGGAGAGAGAAAATGGGAGGGAGAGAGGAGAGGAACAACTTTTACAGAGGTAATAACTGAGAATTTTGCAAAACTGTTAAGACATCAAGCCACAAACTCAAGAACCTCTGCAAATCCAAGCAAGGAGCAGTAAGAAGAAATTCACACATACGCACATCACAGCAAAAAGAAAATGATGTAAAAGAAACTTGTAGAGTAGGAAGTACTGGGCCCACTGAAGACTGTAATACTGGTAAGGCACACAAATGGTCAGAGACCACCAACTTAGATGCTTACAGAAGTCTTTATCTCTGAGGCAAAGAACTACATCTTCACATGGAAAAGAGCTAATTTCTGGATAAACAGAAAGGATGAGCTACATCGAATATCCTACTATAGACTTAACATTATAGATCTCATTTCATCCTAACTAAAAAATTCTGATGAGTTGAATATAATTACCCCATTTTACAGATTTTCAGTAAAAACTGATGATCAGTTCAGAAACTGATGATTTTAGGTAATTTCATTAAGACAGTGCATAGAAGGTAAAGTCAAAATTCAAATTCAGCTATGAATGCTCTAACGCCAATGTCTTGTATAATATACTACCCCAAACTCCTACGAAAAGTACACCACAAATCACAACAGATACCTCTACAATTTTTATGCTTGCAAGAAACTATAAATTAGGTGTTCAATAGGAAATGTTTAAAAATGTGTTTATTTAGCAGGTACATTAGTTATTTATAGATGTATAACATAGGACTCCAACATTTACCAACTTAAAACAACAATAAATATGGATTATATTTAACAGAGTTTCTGTAGTAGACAATATAGAAGTGGCTTAGCTGGGTGGTTCAAACTCAAGGTCTCTGATGGGGTTGCAGGCAAGATGTCAGCTGGGCATCTGAAGATTTGACTGGAGTTGAGTATTGGCTTCCAAGATGGCTCACTCCAATGGGTAGCAAGTTGATGCTGGCTGTTGGCAAGAGGCTTCAGTTCCTGGACTCCTGGACCTCTCCAAAGGGCTGCCTGACTGTCCTCAGGACATGACGGAGGTGGCTTCCCCCAGAGTGATCCAAGAGAATGCACAGTGGAAACTCTACTGTTAGGTATGACCCACCCTCAGAGGTTACACACTGACATTTCCCCAATATTCCGTTGACCATACAGGCCAGCCACGACTCAGTGTGGTGGTGGGGGGAATAATCAGAGGTGAGGATCACTGTGAGCCATCGTGTGGGCTAGCTACAAGAGGAGTAATAATATTTTAAGAGCAATAAACCTTGTTTAATAAAACATCAATATTCCATGTCTACCGATGAGCTGTCTTAAATTTTCTTCTTCAAGTGTACACAAGGTATTAGTTGTTTATTTAGGAAAAGGGTGTTAAAATTAAAGATGGCATGCCTACTATTAACTTCCCAAGAATAACTTTAAGAACTAATAGCAACAAAAGGAAATATAATGTGCCTGATTATTTAAAAGAACTACCTTCCTTTAAAAAGGTACCTAACAGTAATCAGCCCAACCCAAGAAGCTGCTGCATATCCACAAGTGACCTGTTGTTAAAATCAAATATGAAATAGCTAATTAACCAAACCTAAAAAATGGAGAAAAAGGAAAATTACAAAACAAATAAGCACTTCGACTTACATATCTACCAGCAAGAAATCATTACAAAGTTAACACTAAATGTAGCCCAGATGATGTGTGCATTCTGAAGTAAATGTGTTAAATAAAAATTGAATCCTGAATGTTAGTCTTTATAATAAGACGCCACATGTTGTTCAAGTCTGGACATCAAATGTGCATCCAACGTGAAAAGTTAATTCTAGCCTCTTGACGATTTTGCATAAAAGCACTCATCCACGGACCATTAGATAAAGTCACTGTAAATAAGGTTCGCCTGTCCTATTTATAAGTGAAAACTAAATAATTTCTCTCACATAAATATACAAAAATAAATACTTTCACAACGCAGTTCACTGAAGCATCTGTGCTAGGCTTCGAAAACCATAAATAAAATGAAAACTCCAACATTGATGTAGTATTTCATGCTTTTCTGACAGGTATCTTTTATGTTAAGTTAAAAGCAGGCTAAAGGTGAATTTTTAAGGTGTTTCCTGCTTCCTGTAAACAAAGAAAATGGAAAGTGATTCAAAAATACAATTTGCGGAGGTTATTCCACTGCTGTAGACTATATATCACATTTTAAATAGAAAAAAAAAATTTCAAAAAATCAGGTTAGATTTAATATGGAGTTTCACTGTAGAAAAAAATTAAACAACAAAAAAAGACTTTTCATGCAATTTGAACTTCTATGGCAAACAAGCCAGTGTTAATATAAAGCAAATCAATAATTTTTGTTAAATTTTAATAATCTTGCAAGCCTACAAATAAAACCATCAACAGTCTGAGTTGAGATGACAGTTAACTGCGTTTCTATGACAACCTAGAGGAATGGTACAAGTTCTGACTTGCAGCTAAGCGAAGATATGAAAAGAGTGACATTTACCCATACAAGAAAAATTTGCAGCTTTCCTTTACAAAGAATCAATTCCTCAACTAACATGGATTTTCACTAAGTGTATAGCACGTTTAATTAAAGACAAGTCCTTCAGATCATCCTAGACGATTCT